GCCGCTTCCGGATCGCCGCTACTCTCCTTCCTGGCCACCTCCTGCGCGACTTCACCGACATCCTCCGCAACCCTCCTCCAGACCGACCTTACACCATCCTTTCCGACGCCATCCGTCAGCGGTTCGGCAAATCAGTCGAACAGCGTCTTCGCTGCCTGCTCTCTGGCCAACAACTCGGCGACAGGCGTCCTTCCCAATTCCTTCGGCATCTCCTGGACCTTGCTGAAGCTGAAGGCTCACAAGATTCCCCGCTCATCCGCCAGATCTTCCTCAATGCTCTTCCGCCTCGGACTCAGCCCTTCCTCCAGTGCCTGCCGCCTGGGACGGACCTTGCGACCATCGCTAGCACTGCCGACCGACTCCTGGAGTTTCCGCAGCAGTCGGACGTCGCTGCACCTACCTCAGGCCTTCTCGCCGCGGTATCGACTTCTGCGCCTGCTGCAGCCTCACCTGCTGCTCCTGCAGGACCCTACCACCTCCAAGACCTGATGAGCCAGCTGCTGACTGGTATCACGGCCCTCACAACATCAGTCGCCACCCTGGTGGACGAGACGCGCCGCCGAGAGAGGTCTGCATCCCGTGCCCCCGGCCGCGCTCGCCACCGTCCACCACGCGACCTGTCTGCTGCTGCCCGGTCACCCAGCCCTGCAACCAACACGTCTACCGGCGCTGGTGCTTCCTACTGCTGGTACCACCACAAGTTCGGTACCAACGCGCGCTCATGTCAGTCACCGTGCTCGTGGTCTGCAACCGCAACTCAGACCTCGGGAAACCAGCAGTAGGACAGGTGACACAGACGTCTGCACCTGCCCTGCTCAACCCTGACGTCCCTCCAGCAAGCGGCCTTCTGAGACTCAAGGACAACAACACTGGCATCACCTTCCTCATCGACACTGGAGCCGAGTACAGTGTTCTTCCAGCGACACCCACCGATCGTGCTCGCGGAACCAACGGACTGGATCTGCAAGCAGCCAACAACAGCAGCATCCAGACCTATGGTCAGCGCATGCTCACGCTTTCTCTCGGACTCAGAAGAGATTTCAACTGGATCTTCATCATCGCGGACGTCTCCCATCCTCTCCTAGGAGCCGACTTCCTCTCCTCGTATGATCTCCTCGTCGACACCAAGAGAGGCCGTCTCATCGACCACCTAACTGAGTTGTCTTCACCTGCTTCCCACTCTTCAGTGCCATCCACCGGACTGACAGCCGTCGTCAGAACCGACAACCCAGCATTCCTTAACCTCCTTCGAGAATTCCCCAGCCTCACCCAGCCGTCACATCATCCGGAGCCACAGCACTCAGTCCGACATCACATCGAGACTACCGGCCCTCCGGTCTTCTGCCGCCCACGCCGTCTGGATCCAGCTCGACTCGCCACTGCCAAGGCAGAGTTCCAGCGCCTCCTCAGTCTCGGAGTCATCCGACCCAGCAGCAGTCGGTATGCATCACCGCTGCACATGGTGCCCAAGTCGTCTGGAGATTGGAGACCCTGTGGTGATTACCGTGCACTGAACCGCATCACAGTGCCTGACCGGTACCCACTACCACATCTCCACGACTTCACTGCCTGCCTCGCTGGGACATCGATCTACTCTCGGCTCGACCTCGTCAGGGCCTTCAACCAGATACCGATGGCCCCAGAAGACATCGCCAAGACAGCGATCACAACGCCCTTCGGCGCCTTCGAGTTCCTCCGTATGCCGTACGGTCTCCGGAACTGCGCTCAAACCTTCCAAAGGTTCATGGATCACATCCTCCGTGGCCTGGACTTCGCCTTCGTCTATGTAGACGACATCCTCATCGCCAGCAGCAGCATCTCGGAACATCTCACACACCTCCGAGAGGTCTTCAGCCGTCTTTCCCGCAACGGTGTGCTCCTCAACCCATCGAAGTGCGCCTTCGGCATGGAAAGCATCTCCTACCTCGGCCACCAGATCTCCAGCGGAGGCATCACTCCTCTCGACGATCGAGTCAGCGCAATCAAGAACTTCGACCGTCCAGAGTCCAAGAAGAGCCTCAAGAAATTCCTGGGGATGATCAACTTCTATCACCGCTTCATCCCACACGCTGCTGCTCTTCTGGCGCCTCTCCACGGCCTGACTGCCTCAGACGACCGAGCTGCTTCAGTCACGTGGACCCCAGAGGCAGACGCCGCCTTCTCTGCAGCCAAAGCCGCCCTCGCTGACGTCACCCAGCTCGCTCATCCCGTCAAAGATGCAGCTCTGAGCCTCAGCACTGACGCCAGCAGCACTGCAGCCGGCGCCGTGCTCCACCAGCGAGTTGGTGGTTCTCTTCAGCCTCTCGCCTTCTTCTCGCGCAAGTTCACACCCACCCAACGCCGCTACAGCACCTTTGGACGGGAATTGCTCGCCATGTACCTCGCCGTGCGACATTTCCTGCCCTATCTGGAAGGACGCGACTTCGAGATCCTCACGGACCACAAGCCGCTCGTCTTTGCTCTCAAGGCCAACGGCAACGCCAACCATTCTCTCCGTGAACAACGTCACATGGACCTGATTCTGCAGCACACCAGCAAGATCGGACATGTTCCTGGACATCTCAACCCGGTAGCTGACGCCATCTCACGGATCAGCTCAGTGTCTGCACCAGCTTCTGCCGCAGCTACACCTTCACCCGGCCTTCTGAGCTTGGCCGACATCGCCCTACACCAAGCCAACGATCCTGACCTGCCGAAGCTGCAACAATCCTCATCTCTGATCATCCGTGACTTCCCAGTCCCTGATCATCCGCATCTACGTCTCTGGTGCGACACCTCAACGGCCACACCTAGACCTGTAGTCCCAGCCAGACTCCGCCCTTCCATCATCAAGAGCTTCCACGACTTGTCTCATCCTGGCATCAAGGCTACGCGTCATCTCATCTCATCGAGGTTCATCTGGCCCCACATCAACGCGGACATCCGTGCCTTCGTCCGGAGCTGCCAGCACTGTCAGCGTGCCAAGATCCAGCGCCACACGAAGCCACCCATGGGCAGCTTCCAGCCACCTGACTCTCGCTTCCTGCACATCCACATCGACCTTGTCGGACCACTTCCTCCGTCCCATGGCAACTCCTACCTCCTGACTGTCGTCGACCGCTTCACCCGATGGCCCGAGGCAATTCCTCTGCCCACCATGGACGCCGTCACGGTGGCTCAGCATCTCGTCAGCGGCTGGATCGCCCGCTTCGGAGTACCCGAACTCATCACCACCGACAGAGGATCCCAGTTCGAGTCCCGCCTCTGGACAGAAGTCTCCAAGCTTCTCGGCACCTCTCGGATCCGGACCTGCGCCTACCACCCAGAAGCAAACGGGATGGTAGAGCGCTTCCACCGCCAACTGAAGTCAGCTCTGCGGACCGATGACGACGCCGCCTCCTGGTCGGACCGACTTCCTCTGGTGCTACTCGGAGTGCGCACGGCCCTCAAGGAGGATCTCGGATGCACCGCTGCAGACCTAGTCTATGGTTGCAGTCTCCGACTTCCTGGTGACTTCCTCTCCCCCATGTCGTCGGACACTTCTTCTGATCCGGCTTCCCTAGCCTCTCGTCTCCGTGCCGTCATGTCGGAGCTCCGTCCAACTCCTCCTCGTCCTGGCTCCCGCCAAATCTTCATCTCTCAAGACATGCAAACCTGCTCCCACGTCTTCATCCGACGCGATTCGCATCGCTCTCCTTTCCAATACGTCTATGACGGTCCTTATCGTGTCCTATCCCGCGACCAGCACACCGTCACCATCGACCGTCTCGGGCGACGCGACACCGTCACCCTGGCTCGGTGTAAACCGGCCTTCACGGACAACATGCCTGCCGCAACGCCGCCTGCAGCACCGGACGTCCTGGTGAACGACACGCCTACTACAGCGACAGACAGCTCGGTGGACCGCCCGCCTGCTGCATCGCCTGCACCCAGCCGCTCAGGTGCCCCCGGCGGCTCTCGCCCGGCCCGCCGCGTGCCGCCGGGCCCGCCGCCTGCTTCGCCGCCCCCTCTCCGTCGTTCGTCGCGTCTTCGCCGCCAAACATCTTTTTATGGTGTTTAACTAGGGCGGGGGAGTGATGTAGCCATGTACTCCTGCCGGTCACCGCTAGGCCCATGTACTTCTGCCGGTCGCCGCTAGATGCTGTGAACCGCGAGTTACAGTTTTGTTAATAGGTGTCGCTTTTACCAGTCTCTAAATTGCTAAAGCCTTCGATTAAGTTATGCGCCCCTCTTTTAACGTTCCGTTTGCTTAAACTGCTGTATTGTTTGGACAATTGTATTGGCTGTGTGTATACTAAAAACCATATGTATTCGTTTATTACATTCGATGTTCTCGCCAACATGTGTGCAATACTAGATAACTAAGTTCGTATGTAAAACTATATATGTCTAGATTTTGTGGCGAAATACAAGAGATATCTGTATCTTACAGTGTTTCTACTGGCTACACCAGCCAGACCAGTGTGGGTCCGCATGTGATCGGTGAGACCTGACCGCCTAGAGAACCGTGCCTTGCAAATGGAGCAGCCGTATGGCCGTTCCCCTGTGTGAGTTCTGCGGTGGTTTTTAATACGGTCGGGCCTGTCGGTCGAGTATTGACACCACTCGCACTTCAATCTGCCGTTCCTGCCCATATGGCCGTGACTTCTCTTCACGTGTCCGTCCAGACAATGTTTTCCCAAACATCTGAAGCCGTATTGGGGACATTGGACCGAGCCACTAATGCCTGAAGAATACACAGAAAGAAGAAAGGCCATTAAAAAAAAAAACGTTCCATGCTAAAGCAGGTCGCAATAGAACGACCTAACCCGGTTAGGTCGCAAGCCGAAATACCAGTTCAAGTTACGAACCGAGCCCATGTAATTTGGTAAATAAACGTCATGCCTGCATACATCAAAGCAGCAGAACTTCTCAACGAACCGGGCAAGAGCACAGTCTACTGTCGGCAGAAGGGTAAATGGCATTACCAGCGTCACTTCAATGGACACCATAGCCCTCAGAACCGCTAACGATGAACTGACCTGAATATGACGGTCCGGCCGGAGAGGAAGTCACAGACTCCCCAGATGTCTCCGAGTGGACGGTCAGTTCCCGGGCCGAGTCGTCTCCGTAGTACACCAGCAGCTCAGAGCCCCGCGGAATGGCCTTTGACGTCCTGCATAGGGAGATAAATATAGCATTATTGATGAAAGCTTGATTGGTGTAGTCACAACACTTACACTGTCATTAATAACTTCGACGAATCCATTAAAGAAAAATATGGGCCACAGGACGAACCGCGCATAAAATACGTAACGCAGTTACGAAGAATAGATCCGTGGATTCCAAGACTACAACGCACCTGAAGTATACCTGGCCCCGGTACTGGAAGGCCACTAGGTTTTGTTCTTCCTCCGAGCGGGCACAGTTGACCCTTCTGAGCCAGTTGCTGCAGCTCGGGTCTTCGGCATTCACCGAGTGATGCACGCGCTTACCCTTCTTGATCTGTGGTACCAAACAAAAACGTAGTTCATCATTTCAAAGAAAAAAGTAAAAATATGGCATGTGCAATGAAAACATTATAAAATTTATATGTTGCTATCATTGGTCTTAAAATGTTTTTTTTTTTTAATAGCTTTTATCGTTGAAGTAAGTCTAAAGTGAAAATATGCGTTTTTTACCAGCAAAACAAAACAACTGAACTGACCTGCCATCTGTACCCGGTTGTTCGACTTCGGGCCTGACCCTGCTCGGTGGTCAAGCAGTGGCGGCGGAAGCAGGGGGGCAAGGGGGGCAGCTGCACCCTAAAGCTATGGAAAGGGGCGCCTCGAAAATCTGTAGAGGAGGCAGGAAGTTAAGAGGTGCGGCAGCCATAAAGCTGAGCAGTGCGAGGCGACACCGCAACTGATAAAGGCACTTGTGACACGAAGAGGGTGGCAATGACGTGGGAAAAGTATCTTTTGATATGCTGAAGAGTGGAGGGCATCCTTATCTGAAACAAAGGCAGATGCTGCCGACCCTGTCGAATATACCTAATCTTGCCAGGCGATAAAGGCTAGGAGGGCGCAGCTACTCGAGAAGCGCGCCATACGGAAGAGGGGCGCCTGCATGCGAAAGAGGGGCGCCTGTGTGTGGGACGAAAAAGAAACATTTATGGAGACGTCTTTGAAGGCGATAGCCTCCGAACGCCAACACGAACATATGAGAGCTTATAGCGTTGCAGGCTCCATGCGACAAAAAGGGGCGCCTGATGGCCGATATGCGAGAGGAAATTAGTTTGTGTAACATTTATCGGGGGCGGTTTGCCGTTTACAACATACGAATGTTAAGGGAGGTCCGAGATTGGGGCCTGTAAAATTGCACTGTCCTTATGGGCCCTAGTGCCCCTAGTGCTAGCGCGTATTTTGCGTTTTTTTTTTTTTACTGGGGAGATGATTATTAGAGGTGTCAATTTCAGAAATTTCTTGTCCGATGTCCGTCCAATGTCCAAAATCCTAGCTCACTTTTGTCCGAAAAATGTCCAAGGCATGGATTTGTCCGAAAACTGTCCGAAAGCTGGATATGGAAAGAGAAGTTGGGGGAATTGATCTATATTAGGTATATGTTTGTATGTACCACATGATAACTAAATAACAGATCCGCCATCTGGTTTTGAGTGCAAAATATTGCAAACTAGAAAGGTTGAAGCAATATCATATGCAGTAGGGAATGGGCATTAGGGCAATAGGCCTAATCTGATATATAAAACAAATACAGCATATTGAGACAAGCCTATTCTGCTTCAAAATGTGCTACAGCCTACAACTGAAGCCGAGTAAGCAGGAATAATGCAAAACATTGCCTTATCCCTCCAACTTGGGTTCTCAAATATTGACTTCTTGCCACATCCCTTAGGCCTTACACTAAGCCGCTTGATGATGAATTAATACAGCAATAATGCATGCAGCTATTCACTTACAATAATGATGGATATCTTCATCTTATATCACACTGGCTGAGATGTAAAGTAGAACACTTCTTGCAAAAGCAAAATAGTTCATGTGAGAAGAAACATGTGAGATAGGTACATCTGGAAGAAACGTGCTCTTCACTGAGCCACACATCTCTGAATATCCAAAAGAATAAGCGAGCACAAAAAATAAAAATAACTGTTATGATTTAACACAAGTTCACTGAAATTCACCAGGCCCATGTCGTCCCCTATCTCCGCGTGTGTCCACTAACACGAATGACGTCACGCATGTGGGCGGAGCTATGGGCGGAGCCTAACGCACGCGGCAGTCCAAGCCGCCATATTTGAATTTATATTTTAATAGAATCTTGCCGATATTTTGGGTGAAGTCAATTTATATGGATAGCTTGGTGACAGTTTAGCTATACGAATAATATATTTATTATGGATGTGCGTATATTCAGCTTGGAATTGCAATTAAAGTTCCGCACCGCATAGATTCGAACTCGGGACCTTTGGAATATTGCGCGGGCACGCTAACCACTACACTACCGCGACCGCGCGGCGGCCGGCGGCAGGGAGGCTGCGGAGACATGGGGGACATTTTACGCTTTTGTGAAAAAAGCAAAAGATTTAGCGAAAAACACGTAATAGATAACTTGCAGAAAATTGTCTGCTCTTTCAGATAAGATACTTAGGTTTGATATATCTTGTGCAGACTTCATTCTACAGTGCTTCGAAAATCGCTCATTTACATGGGGATTGAACGGGGCTTCGAGACTTGACTCCAAATGACGTCACGAGCTGACGTCACGAAAAGGTAGAATCGCCGGACGACCCTACCTGGTATATAGGGCCTTGGAAATTCACAAGCAAAAGAAGTTGTATAAATCCTTGGTAGAATGAAAAACACATTTCATGCTACCATTCTCGGTAGCATGGAACATGGTATCCGGCTTTGAGTCGATGATGTGAAAGTAAATCAATAATATGACGTCATTATCATAGAATGTGGCCAAGTGAAGTGCATTTACCGTTAATTGTTTGATTTAAATCCAAATTGTATTACAAAATATCATATTTCTTTCGAAAATAATTCAATTGTAAAGCAAAATAACTGTTTTTATTGTAATAGACGTCATTTTTTGTCTCCTCCGATTCTCATCGGGAGGCCATCTTTCCTTAGGCGACATTCATTTATGACGCTTTCGCCGCATTTCATCACCCTTTGGTTTTCAGTTTATTGATAGGCTCAGAGATCAAGATGGCTATCGGCATATTTTAATATTTTATGTAGCATTGTATTCGATATTTCGGCACGGATATTTTTGGGGGAAGGGGTAGAAGGGGATGACTTTATGATAGGAGGTTCTAGGTAAGACTCTTGTGCTACTTGGCACACCTTGATATTTGCAATTTTCTTCAGTCTCTTTTCTGTTAACTTTCGAGTGGGGCAAAACTATTTTTGGATTCCCAAGTCACTGCTTTGGTGTCTGGTGCTCCCACAGGTCAATTGTACATCATATTCATAACTGTGTTATTTAATGATGGGCTTGCTGACAACAATGTCACCTATTGGCTATTGTTACTTGTCACATTTTCAAAAGAGTTAAAAATTGGCACAGTACATGTAGGTATGTACCTTATTTGACTCAGGGCTACCCGCTACATGCAATCACGTTCATGTTCATCTTGCACTATAATTATGAATGATGTATGAAGCACCTATCCCCTGTCAATTTTGATGACATGTTTTGCAATCTGGATATTGATAATGCAAATAAGTTTGAACTTAAACTGATTAAAGAAATTTGTAACTTTCAACTAGTTTTCCGAATATGTCCGATATGTTTGTCACTTGTCCGTCCGATTTCCGAATCGGAATTCGGAAATTTTCGGAATTCCAAAATTTTCGGTTCCGATTGACACCTCTAATGATTATGACCAGGAATAGCACTCTGCAAACTTCTATGGGCGCCTGTATAGGGGCGAAACTGATTTTCCAGTGCAGGGACGGCCATCGGCATGGTAAGGGGCGCCCAGCGGGAAGGGGCGCTTCAATATCGTTTGCACCCCTATCCTAGAATACCTTCCGCCGCCACTGTGGTCAAGGTGCCCTCGTAAGGACCGAGTCTTTGGCGCGCAGGTATGTCCTTCTCCGCCAAAACTCCTGGAATCAAATAAATACAAGCCTTCACCTCAACTAAATGGACACAACATGTACTGATACATGGGACATGAAATCATACAACACAAGCAACCATCACCAAATGATGCATCAAACGTCCAGCAGCAGTTGTTACGTACCGCCATTTGTCTTGCCTCATTAACTTACCGGTGCCAGACGCTGGATTTGTCGACGGACCAGAGCTGAGAGAAGGCGGGAGAGTCTTGACGTCCCTGTCGACATCTCCGATACCGGGTCGTGCCTGGAATGTCCAGCGCATGTGGGGCGCAATGTCGACAATACAATCAATGCATTGAGATTATCTTAAGCCTGTTTGTAAATCAGACGGGTATGTTTTGTGGATATAGATCATGAACCTGTTCTTGACCACGTACCCATGACAGTATTACCTGCTAACAAGACAGAAGCAAAGCAATAATATAACTATGAGCATGGATTAGAGTAAATTAAATACTTCATCCATGCTATGAGGAAGAGGATTACGTAAATGTGAAAGAAATAGATCATTTTTACATGAAGCTCATGTCGTTCCGTCACTAGGGCATCAGGCACAATTGGTCATATTATTTAATGTCTAAATGTGAGAGGAGTCATGTGTAAAGAATACGAATCAGACCAGTATGGACCAGTCCTTACCTTGGTATCGTGTATGATCTTTAGCGGTCCATGGACGGGACATTCACCGTCCCAATCGCGGCAGCACACGTCACAAACTGTCAGAAAGAAGGGCGAAAAAATTATTAGCGATTTGATGAAGAGCAGACCAAGGTTTAATCGTTCAAGGTTCCGTTAGACGGAAACAATGCGTCTGTATTCGGTTTAATTTGTCTGCAATATGAGTGCTTATCGTGTACATTCGTCCGTTGATGAGGAATAGCTAGCTGACTAAAATCGGGAGAATACTCACATATGTTACTATCATCGAGACCGTCCACATCTCGGTAGTTAATGACGAGACGTTGACTCTTGATGAACACTCCTTCAGCAAAAACTGCAATGAATTCAACAGGGTAATAAATAATTCTGTAATTTGAAAGTTGTCCCTTTGTATATGCTGCTATGCTGCTCTTATCGCTAGGTATGTCTAGGGGATTGTGTCCTTCACTATATTACTCTATGTGTTGTCTAGGGGTATTAACTACTGCACTGAAAACAAGATCGATGTATGTGTGTGTAGCGGGGCTCGGCTGCAAGATATTTTATTTGTTTGTTTGATTTGCGAGGCTGGTCAGTCACTGGCGGACACATAGACTGCTACACTGATGGAGTGGGCAATGGGGTTAAGTTGGAATGCAAAAAAGGATTTCTGACAAGGTTACCCTGATAAATCTCTCTTCCCGATCAAAGGATTAAAATAAACAAAAAAAGTTCATTACATTGCAAACTTCCATTAACTGCACAGAGGGGCGCCTCCCACTGGATATAACCATTCATGCTCACATTCACACCATCATGCACACTTCCCTTTCATACAAATTAAAACACCAGGTCGCTAAACTGGCCCCTCCCTGTTTACCTAACCTCCCCCAGTGGTGTACAGTAGCCGTTCGTAAGCATGCGTCAAAACCTTTGTCCTTTACCATTATACATGATCTCTGGAAATTTCCTTCTTAAGATTTACGTCCGTTGCTTGATAAAATGTATTATTCCCCATTCGACTGCTATAGTTCTCTCTTAACTTACAGCTCGCCCCTAAAAAAAATACGACCCTTCCCAAAATACTCATTTACTCCAACCGGCTTTACTCACCTTGCGATTTCCGTTTACAATTAACCAATATGGCTCAATCATCATAGATAATACCGATCGAGTGACAATAACATACACGTCATACCTTGTCGGATCTTGGCCCTCCCCTCTTTCTGATATCTACGGCAGCGGAGGCCTAAAATCCTAACATTAACGCCGCGGTCACATGCCGGAGCAGAACCGGCATGTGATGGACCAAACTTGCACGCCGCCGGTGGTGCGGCCGTGCCCTGCCTATCCCCCGGGTCACAGATCCGTCAGTCAGGCTCCGCAGGTAGCACTATACCGGGGTTTCCGTGATGGACAGAACCTAACTTTTGTCGAAGTGAGATTTTAATAGCAGGCCGGATTCTCCCTGCATTGAAAGAGGGGACTTCCTCCGATCCTCCTTTTGAATCACTCCGGGTGGCCGAAACTCCGACGATTCACCTACCTCGTCCCCGTGGCTTCCACCAACGACAAACCACGGCTGTGGGGTATACCTCCTCCCACGCCCCCCGGGTCCCTTCACCGCCCGTGGCCTAGGAACAGCCGACTTTTCTGCCACTGCCCCGCATCTGGCCTGAGGGAGTGTACTGCGCACCATTCTGGAGCGACTCCCCCTTCCAGGTTCTTGAGACAAATATGAATACACCTTTCTGATGCTCTAGTCTCCCCCCCCCCTCGGGACGCCACCCGAGCTCTTACAACCTTCGAGTCACCCTTCCTTTAACTGCCGTCGCAGACCCTACACAAGAAAATAAACCACCGCGTGGCCATAGCTACCTGACTAACTGCGACAGGGCCAATGCCGACTTACAGCAGTCACATGACACGAACGCGTGGTTGTAAAATGTTACCTGGCCGGCACCGGAACTCAAGCCGGTCTCCTTCCCTGCGCCACCCCGGCGCAATAAATACCCTTCCTTGACCTCCCTGAATACCTTCCCGCGCTTTCCTGCGCTATCCGTGCACAATAATTTTCAGCGTGACCAGGTCCTAACCAAATCCGTTCTCGTGATCTGCTGGTGAAAGGGCTCCTGCGGTGGACCCCGTTCGGCAGAATACGCCGGGTATAACCTAACTTTTTGATACCGGAGTGGGGAGTTAAAGGCGGGTGGAATGCTTCCTGCCTGAGGGGTATACCGATCCATGCCGATCGACCCTCGCTTTAGAACCACTCCGGCGGCCGAAATGTTGACGAACGGGTGAACAATCCCGTACGGTGGCTCTCTCCGCGACAATCCACGTTCGTGAGACGCTGTGCTCTCACGCAATACCGGGGAAAACTCACACCCTGAATCGAACATTCATGCATGAGAACCTCCCGTAATCGAGCAACACTTTCTGTGTCCCTCTGAACTGGTCATTGGGGAGATATAAGATCTGAAAGGCACCGTTCTGGCACCTCCCCAAAGCCAGGTGGTGCGACGGCCTGTACACTCATCGTGAATGCTCCGTCACACCCCACCGGTTCCCGCCTGAGTCATCAGGACTTATAAATCATATGGGTCTTAGCCGTGACCGAGACACGGCTATTTATTTTGCCCGACTTACGCCGTAGAAACATCCAGAGGGGCATTTGACGAGCCAGATCATTCAAACGTAAGAGCATGTTGTTTGAGTCACTTGGGTCGTCGTCACTGTCTACGGAATGATGTTGAACCTTTGCCCGAAATACGTTTGCCTCGAAATGACTCAGAGTAAAACGCGCACAAAATAATTAAGTAAACGAAATTATCTATATCTAACTACCTAAGGACGGAGAACCTGCGAAACAAGCCAACAGAGCCGACCTCCTTAGTGTCCAGCACCCAATAACCAAATTTACTACTTCCTCGTCTCATACCCCTGAATTGTAACCGTAACTTCCCGACCTCCTCTTGGCCCAGAAATCCAACGTCCTGACCTCCCGGTGGCCTTACTCGTACCTGACCTGTACCCTCCATTAGTCCGGCCTTCCTACCCTTTTACTACCTTGGCTCTCTATAACCTTCCCTGTGAACTGTAATCTCGAACGAGCACTGACATACATTTACCATAGTTTAGACATTCAATAGCTTAATTTAAACTCTCCTCCCCACTCCCATCTCTCATCAGTGAAGTAGTCGCGTCGGTGGGCTTATCACACACAGGGGTGTCACATGCATAGACAGCCTCGTAGCCCCTAAACGTTACGCCAACCAATGTATCCCATATCTGTATCCTTTATCCTATACTTAGCTCGTAATCCCTCCTAGAGTATCCCATCCTTAAAAAAAAAAACAAAAAAAAAACATAAAAAAACTACGACCATGTTCGCCCTTAACATACTGAAATTACCACTGCTGCCGACACAGAATCTAAGAAAGCAGGACCCTACGCACATCGGTCGCCGAACCGGGTTTCGAACTATAATCAATGACGTCATCAAAGGGTCGGAATGAGACTTTCACTGTTCTCAGAAGCGCGCGCGTATGAATGGTGCACCCTGCCCCGGCATGTCGAGAGTCCTGTGTCAATGACGTCACTCATCGATGGTCACGGCAAGAATAGTTCCGATGACGTCATCAAAGGTTCCAAACGAGTCCTTTTCCTACTCTCCAATGTAAATGAATATGAATGGCATGACCAGCCCGACGTACTGAGGGCTCCGGGCCTATGACGTCACTCATCTGAGGGCGCTGTTGGCATTAGGCCCATGACATCACGAGGATGATCACCATGTGTTTCTCAGTCACCCTGAATAGTGGGCGCGGTCCGGGTGAGCATACGTGGACCGGGGCTATAGCACCCGTCAAGTGCACAATTAGAGCGGCCTGCATGGCCCCGGAGGGCACCGATCGACAACATCTCCTCTCACATTGCCTGAGGGCAGACGTCACGCCCCTGACAGCGATCAGTCAGTTCTGCAGTGATCTGCAGTGAGCTTTGCAGCCCTTTACTGGGATAGAACCAGTAGCTGCCCATAACGCACCACCGCCGCCCCTCTGGGACGGCTCTGCTCCCCGCTGGCAGTTAATCCCCCTTAATGACCGCTCGCTGGGGTCGGGCGGCTGCCTTCTGCTTGAGAATGGCGCGGGGCGCCATGCCAGTCTGTATAGGATGGCCCTCTGGACCGTCTTCAGGAAGGAGTGATGCTCTATTACGCCACGGGGTGGCGCGCAGAGCATATTTGGGGACGACCGGTGGTGCCGTGCGCCGTCCAGGCCATGGTGACGTCATGCAGGGGTGACCGTCGCACTGGACCACCCGTCAACTCGGTCGGCCAGCTCGGCAGCGAGCTCGGCAGCGGGCTAACTGGACCGGAGGCACTAGCCGTCCATACGGCACGGCCGTCCGCTGTTCCCCTCTTGGGGTCTCCCCGACCAGACGGCGATGTACCCTGTCCCGGCGCCGGTCGGCTGGTATGCGCTAATGACCCTGACCCCGCCGCGAACCGAGCGGACGGTGAGGATTATCGGGGCGGGCGCCGGCCCGGCGCGGTTTCTGCTCGACTGCGGGGACCGCTTCCGTCTACCGCGGCGACATGCTATTATGAGTGCAGCGCGCTGGACACCTGTCGTACTGATCGTTTACAATTGTGATTCCTCCCGTGTTATATAAACAATCGACATCACCCGCAATGGGGGACCTTTCCGGGCAAAATGAATGGGAAGACGAAAGATAAGAGGAGAGAGAGAGAGAGAGAGAGAGAGAGAGAGAGAGAGAGAGAGAGAGAGAGGGAAGAGAGAGAGAAAGAGAGAGAGAGAGAGAGAGAGTGAGAGAGAGAGAGAGAGAGAGAGAGAGAGAGAGAGAGAGAGAGAGAGAGAGAGAGAGAGAGAGAGAGAGAGAGAGAGAGAGAGAGAGAGAGAGAGAGAGAGAGAGAGACGAGGGAAGTGGATGATGTGAGCGTTTTTAGGGAAGGGCTAACTACAGGGAAGGGGAGCCAGACAACCAGACATTCATGGACGGTCGCCAGACGCACCGACCGACATTTTGACAAATCCACGGACCGACAATCTAACCCATTTGACAGAAGGACGTGCAGACAATTGGACCGACAAACCGACGGGGTGGCTAGCGAGACAGGTCGACTCTCTCACCGACTGGATGGCGTGCAATCTGACGAATAAACAGACGAACGGGCTGGCAGACCGACATGATTGACCGACCAACAGATTAAACCACCGGCGGACTGACCGACGGACTGACAGGCCAGACCGACAGACAGATGGGCTGACAGAGAGGTAGACAGACAGGCAGACAGACAGACAGACAGACAGACAGACAGACAGACAGACA